TTACTCTGTACTCAAAGGCAACAAAGACGAGTTGTCTTTCCCACATCACATCACTCTGACCTTCCATGTAGTCAAATCTCTGCCTCCCTCTTCCACTTTTAAGGACCCTTGTGATTACATTGGGCCCACCCAGATCATCTAGGATAATCTCCCTCAGCTTTAAATTCTTAATGATATCTGCAAAGTCCTCTTCATCATGGAAGGTACAACATATTCACAGGCTCCTGAGATGAGGTTCTGGACTCTGGGGTGGAGGCTGGGGGGAGCATTATTTTGCCTTCCAGAACACAGACTGGCACTGACTTCTACTGCAATGTCTTAAGTCCATTCCATTTTGGACCCAGTTATAGTCTGCATAATTATATTCTCTGTATTAAGTCAGAATGTTTACAATTAACAGAAGGTATTAACATATAGGACCTTAGTCCCTCTCATAAGACTTTAAGTGAAGCCCCTATCAGCCTATACCACCTGACTTATGATCACCCACCCCATTCCATCTCTGCCACTTGATGGGTAAGTTAGACATTTACTTGGATAGCTCTTGGATGGCATGGCCTTCCACTTCTTCCACCTCTTAATAACAATGATTTCTTTCTCCACGTCATCTGGGCAACTTGCATGGTTCCATTTTACATCTAAAAATATTCTTTGAAATATTCTCTGAAAAAATCTAAAACAAATATGTGTTGCTGTTTCCATTTTTTTAAAAAGTAAAAATAATCCTTTTTTATGTTTTTGAGTGAATTTCAGATTGAGTAAATCATGGGAGTTAGAAAACTCCTCAATGGAAGCAGAAGAGCACATGGGGTACAAAGAGGATGAAAGCACCTCAGTAGCTCTGGAGCACAGAGTTTCTTAAGAAATGTGGCAGACTGGCTGGAGAAACAAGCCTAGACCCCATCCTGAAGGACCTTGTATCTTGTGACAAAGAATTAAAATTTATCCTGGAGTTGATAAGAAGCCATTAAAAAGTATCTTGTCTGAATAACAGCTTGCTTAAATTTCTCTAGTATTGTGGTAAATGCACTGAATGGGAATAAGACTGGGCAGACCAGATAGGCTTTTTATAGCAATTAAAAGAAGAACTTACAAGTGCCTAAATTAAATCAGAATTAGAAAGGAAGAGACTGAATTTGAGAGATACTTAAAAGGTAGACCAGACAGGGTTTGAGGACCAAGAGAATGCTGGAGAAGGATAACAGTGTAACTTATAGGTCCCTACCTTGGGCAAAAAGTTGGTGTTAACAATTCACATTCAAGATAAGAAGAAGCAGGCCAAAGTGGGATACACTGAGTTGGGAACATCTGGTGGAGAAGTAAATAAAAATGGCAGTTGAAAATATAAATCTGGAATGTAAGAGTAAGATCTTAGAGATTTACAGTGGGAAGCATTGGCGTAGAGGTGGGAGTTGGTCTCTCAATCAGAAGCAATCATTCACACATTACATAGAGAAGGAGAAGGTAAAGAAAAGAGTTGAATGTTGAGTCCTGCCATCACCTTGGCTCTATTCCACTACCTCTCACCAAAGTACTGCAATATTCTCCTCATGGTTTTCCTTCCCTCCAGCACATTTCTTTTCAAATACAATTGTCCCACAAATACAGATTCTTTCTATGACATCCTTTTACTCCAAAACCTTAAATAATTCTTCATTGTCTACAGATAAACCCTCCAATCCTTGGCCTTGAAGCCTTGCCCACTTTTTCTTTCTACTGCCTCACACATGAACATTAGCTTCTGTCAAACTGGTCCTCTCATTGTCCTGTGAACTTTCTCTACTGTCATTTTTTTTTTCATACCGTCAGTCTGCTTTTATCTTTTCTTTATCAAATCTAAACCATCTTTCACAGAATCAATTTAGTTCCTTCTCTTTGAAGAACACCTTCCTAGACCAGCAGAGACCAGAGCAAATGCTACATTAAAAAAAAAAAAATCATGACACATACTGTCTTTAATACACACTTGATTTTCCAGTGCTTATCTATGGCAATTCTTACTCAGAATTTCTTTAAGTTTTCTGATTTGATTTAAAGCTAGAAGCACAGAAGTTCCATAAGAACAGAGAATTTGTCTATTTTATTCACTGCTAAATCCCAAGCATTTGTTAAATCAAAAAACACCTCTGTATATTTCTCACAGTATCTAGCTGAGAGCTTTTCACATAAAAGTTACTCAGCAATTATTTACTAATTGCTTATTTAATTTCCTGGTTTCATAAAGATAGACATATGAATAAGAAAAATAATTTTCTTTAAGAAAAAATGAAACTGGAATAAATTTCTTTAGGAAAAAGAATAAAGCTCTAAAATGCTTCCAAAAAACCCTGTGTAATCCATACTCAATGTGTAAAATATTGTCCCACTTCCTACGCTTATTTTGAAGAACATAAAAGAATGTGACCTTATTTAGAAATAGGACTGTTGCAGATGTAAGAAGATGAGGTCATACTAAGTAAGGCCCCTAATGTAGATAGGACCCTCTGCATTAAAAAATTATGCATCTCTGTGGTAAAGGAATACTTTTTTCCTAATTTCTATCACAGAACTCTTATCTGTAAAGATATAAAAATCTAAATTTCTAACATTTCCTCTGCCTCACAAGATACAATTACATTACGCAGTATATGAAAACCAAAATGGTTTTAGAAGAAGCTACAAAATATCACTGTTTCAATTCTCAAAAAACCTGAATTATCCATAGGCTAGTTGCTAAAACCAACTGCTTAGCCCCCTTGCTAAAAACATGGTAGATTCAAATCTATAAGTAATTTCTTGAGTATTCCCAGCTGGATTTGTTCCTGATTGGTTGATAATCCTAGAAGCATTTTCCATCTGAAAGCTTCAGGGTAAAGGGTCATCTGCATGGTATCCACAGAGGTTGAAGATATTTACAAGTATTCCATGGAAAGTACAAGTGGAGCACCTTTCTTCGGGGATAATATTGATATCTCCTCCTTCCAGGCTTATAAAGGAAGATACTACAAAAAGATACTTCAGTATCTTTGATACACAGTGATTTCTATAGAAATATTAATGTGGTCAATTATTTGAGCAATTAATCTTATTATTTGATAAATAACAAGATTTGCATCATTGAAAACAAAAATAATTCTGAGTAATGTAACTCTTTAGATATTCATCACTAAATTGCATATTTTGCTTGACTAAGTCTGAGCAGCATTAATCTTGTATAATCTCTTTGGTAAAACAAATCTACCTCCCCAAAACCAATTGGAAATAAATGTTTTTTGTTTTTTTATTCATCATACATTGGGTGACTGTTAATTACTGAAGGAAGGTATGGAATACTCTATAGCTAATTATTTCATGTCAATTAATTGCTATGAAATAAAAAATTTCTAAAAATTACTTGAGATGCATGCCAATTTTATCTTTCATCTGAGTTTGTGTGAAAATTTTTATTTTTAAAGAGACTTTTCAGAAATGCATGATTAAAATAAGGCACATTATATATCCCTCCTGACTTGTCAAATGATCCAAAATCCACTGTGCTGGATGAGAGGTAATTCTAGTTTCTTTACATAACAAAACATACTTTGTAATGTATTTTGGAATTATCATTATATTTATAATATGATGACTAGTTCATATTATAAATTATGTAAAAATAAGTTTATATGTTGTTGACTATTATATAAGAATTTATAGCAATATTTTATATTATAATTATAAAATTATAATAATTTATATTAGAATATAATTATCTTATTAATTAGAATATTTATAATATTAAAGAATTATTATAAGACACAATACAAAGATAATTACAGGATATATTATAGGACAATAATAATAACTTTTAAAAAGCCATTCTAGATTTTAAGTGGTCTGTTTACAAATTACATACAATTATATTGATGACAAATGCCTTGAGAGAGAGGAAGTGCTTTGGAGAAAGATGTATGAATTGAGACCCAAATCAGTGAGGCTAATAAAATAATTTTAAATTGCATCTACTATGAGAATTTCCTTTATCTTTTTCAGTCATCTTCCTCAGTAGTAAAGACACTAACCTCCTACACTGCACCTGATTTATTAAATGTGTATCAATGTTTCCAAATTAAATTTAGTCCACATTAAGAGAAATGTTTTTGTTCTACTGGATCTTATTTTAGAATCATCATAGGCTTTCACCAGATAATTAAGGTAATTATTTTCATATATACATGGACAGTAGTCACTTATCCCCTTGAAATGCCATTCATTTTCTTTTGCTTTGAGGAGTTACATACACACACACACACATATATACACATTTATATATATATTTATATGCACATATAAATATATATTATACATATATGCACATTTATATATATACACATTTATATTTATATAATATATACACATTTACATAAATTTATATATTAATATAATTTATAATATATACACATTTATATAAATGTAAAACATTCTAAATGTGTATATATTATATAAATACATCTATATTATAATATCTTATAAATTATAATATAATATAAATAATATATATATATTTTTAAAGATTTTATTTATTTGAGAGAGAGAATGAGATAGAGAGCATGAGAGGGGAGAGGGTCAGAGGGAGAAGCAGACTCCCCGCTGAGCAGGGAGCCCGACGTGAGATTCGATCCCGGGACTCCAGGATCATGACCTGAGCCGAAGGCAGTCGCTTAACCAACTGAGCCACCCAGGCGCCCAACATATTTATTTATATAATATAAAATTATATAAATTTATATATTATATAATATAAATGTATATATATGTCTGTGTATTTATATATATAAATGTGTATATATGTGTATATAATAAATATATATATATAAGTATGTAGCATATTTGCATATTGAAAAACGGTTGCTTCTCAATAGGTTGCTTCTGAATTCCTTTTCTCACAAATAAAAGATTCTCCACAATATCAGGAAATACAAAATGTTAAATCACTTAAGGCACCACACATACTACAGCTATTTTTTTTTAAGCTAAGAACTCACATATTGTCATTTACATCTCGCATCCATTCCTGTCTTCTGAATTCTTCTCTGGCCACCTTTAACTCACTGATTGGTTCTGCTACCCACAATGTTGGCTCCAAAGGCTTGTAGCGCTGTTCTAATACTTCAGTGATATCACGGAATGGTCCCTGTCAAGAAAGAATGAGGAAATATTTTATTATGGAAGACTTTCTGTCATATTATTGATGATTAAGGATGCTGAATATCTACAAAGTATACCAAGTTTACCAAAAGAACAAGCTGTTCTCTTAATTAGAAAATACACAGAATGTCACAACTTCAAAAAATGCTCATACAAGTTGAAGTTAAAATACTAAAATATTTTAAATTAGCCAAAATTTTCTCTACTTACATCAAAAGACTTTTTACGCTAAAACTGTTAAATTTGTAGTTATGTTACTTTGTTTTCTAATTAAAAAAAAATTTCTTCCGATATAACTTAAAAAGAATTCTCTCCCTTTTTAAGTGAAGATATTAGAAAAGATTCTCAGCATTGCTTTCAAAAAGCCTTCCTATCAATAGAAATAGGATAGCAAGGTTTTTTTCATTAAAATAAAGCTTTTAAGTGAATTCCACATCCTACATTTAACTGGTAACCCTCCAAAAACAGAGGGCCATAACTGTAATTAATTTAAGTGTTCTTTAGTAAAAATTCTTTTTTTTTAAAAAAAAACCCAATGTATTTATTTAATATATTCATCACAAGGGCTCAACCAGAGACTTAATTTAAAAAACAGAAACAAAACAAAAATGACACCACAGCTTAAGATACAGAGTCCTAGACAGAAATGAAGAGAAAGACTATCTAAGGAGAAAATAAAAAGACAACACAAAGAGAGAGGCTGGACAGTCAGGGATCTTGGCTGGAGACCTGCTTCGAGTAGGTTTCTTGAAGATACTTCTTAAAGGCTGTGGGGTTTTTCCAGAGCTCGGCAGCATGCGTGTTCAAAGGACTATCAATGTTTGGTTCTCCTAGCAGGCTCTGGATGGACAGCAGGATGGTCCTGACATCATACAGGGCAGACCACTTGTCCTTCAGGATGTCCAGGCAGATGTTTCCCTGGGTGTCCACGTTGGGGTGGTAGCAGGGTGGGAGGAACTTCACCGTGGGCGCATTGTAAGGGTAGCCACTGGGGAACTCCAGCGAGAGCTTATACCTCAGGTCTTCATAAACTGTGCCTGCTGCCCCATGGATGGTCCCCACCCATTTGAAAAGGTTGTCGGATTCAGGGAAGGCAGAGATGCCTTTGTCACATCATGAGGGTCATCAGCTCCCGCTGGGCTGGGCTCCTTTGCGGGCGGCAGCTGGGTCGCGGTTCTGGGAGGCCATCCCGGGCGTTGCGGGGAGAGAGACAGGAACTCGGAGAGCACAACTGCAACTGCTTTTAGTAAAAATTCTAAGTTCTATTGCATAATAACTCTGATACCAAAGTAACCATCTAATGACACAAATATAGCAGAGGAAAGCCCATAAGCTACAACAGTGTTTTATAAGATATCCTAGCTTTAAATTAGTAGTTACTTATACTAATTACTAGAATCCACTGGTTGTCTAATTAGTATATTAAACAATACAAATCAGAGGCGGCTCCGGATTTTACTATGTCATTAATTACATACTGCTTTTTTTCCCACCACTGTTGTTGTACAAGACAGAAGTGATATAAAATAGACAAAGATTCCTAATCATATTCCTTATCCTTAAAGATCTCTTCTTTAAATAGGTTATCACTAACAAGACACAGCTGGAGTTACAGCAAGCACTGACTGAAGACTGTGGGGCTAATAAAAAGAAATGATTCACGCCTCATTTATGTTCACTTATGTTTTACATTAATAGAAACCAATAATAGGAACCAGTTACCATAAAAGTCATGGACCGTAAATAACACAAATGGCAAATAAGTATCATCTAGTACTTTTCACAGCTGGACAGGAGGATTGCTATATTTGAAAGTAGTTAATGGATTTTTATTGGAACTTTACTTTTTAAAGATACAGTAACATGAATCCAAGTTCACTATTAAGAAATCAAATGGGGATTTATTATTTTTTTTTCAGATTCTTAATGTTTTACTTCGAGAAATTTTATGGTTTAAAAATTAATGCATGGTTGTGTTATCAGGGGAAAATTACTTCTTTAGACCTTTTTCCTTATATGTAAAATGGAATAATCCTCATCTCACAAAAGTGCTCTTAAGATATATAAGACAATGTAAGTAACACTCTTAGCATTGTACTGAGAACATACTAAACATTCACAAATGATACCCCTGGCTTTATTTTCATTATTAGTTTCAAGAAAAGTTTGGAGAAGGTTTTGAATAGCAGAATCAAATATATAAGGAAATGCACAAGGCTAGGACTTTGAAGGGACCAGCATTCACAAGGAGGAATGGTCTTCTAAGCGGCCAAACTCTACCTTCTAAACTTTGTTGGTGTATCAACATAAAACATACCCATTTGTTAAGACTTAACCCACTACTTGTTCTGGAACTTACTATTTCCAAAGAGACTAGGAAATGAAAAAGGAGGAGCCCAACTCAAGCAGCAAAATTTAGAATAAGAATAGACCCAGTGTTCCTGATGGGTTCAATATCTTTGTGACCCCAATCCTCCCGTAATCACATTCACCTCTCTCTATCTATCAGTGCCTGGTCCATACACTTATATCTTAGACAAGTGTCCAAGACACTTCGGCAAGTGTCTTGCCTTTGAGCTCAACAGAACTTCTCCCTGGTTAGCAAATGCCATATACTGTCAAACTTCTCCTATGCCAAAGCTTCTGTTAATTTGTATTTCTGTTGATAGACAGCCTTTTAGATCTCAAGTGATCACTAATATTGATCATATGTGGAGTGACATGGGGCCTCAGATTTTGGGCATAGCTTCAAACTTCGGAACTGCTCATTGTGCTCATTTCCAAATATTAATCCCTGTAATGCCCAGGCTCAACCGGAATCTACAAGTCTCCTTCGACTCTTAGCTATAGTTTTCCAAAGTTTGACTTTATTTGCATCCAGCCAAATCCTAATTATGAGGGTCAAATATATTTATGTTCTTCTATATTTTTAACAACCCATGTTACTTTATATTTTTTCCCATGTTACTTTATAGTCATCTTGTACTTTTTAAAATTTTCTCAATAATATTTCAATATTATTTCTCAATAATATTCAATATTATTTCTCTGAAATAATAATGAAGTTATGTTTTAAACTCCCAGGATTGTCTCATACACTTGAGAAATTTACCTCCCAAGTACAGACAGACCATCAGAGTATAAATATTACCATTTGTAATATAGCATATATAATCTTAGATCTCCCTAATGACGTATATACCTTTCATATTATTAGGTAACATATAGTAAATGTGGTTCAGTCCAATAAAACCACAACATTAAAAATCCCATTCTGTGAAAACAAGAATGGAAAGAAGGAAAAAAAGAAGAAGAGGAAGTGAGAAAAGAAGAAGCCAAAGGAAGCTGAGCGAGAAGAAGATGGGATGAAACAATGGGTTGAGGAAGAATGGGAAGAAAGGAAGAAAAAAAAAAAGGAAGTAAGAAAAAGAAGATTAAAATGGTGTGGAGCAGAGGGAGGAGGACCAGGGATAGGAATGAAGGAGACAGGGAAAGAAGAAAAGAGAAAAGGAACAAGGGAAGAGAGAATTAGGAAGAAAGAAGGGAGCAGAAAAAGAAAAGAAAATTAACAAGGATCATTATTTGGTAGTATGCTAGTATGTGGTATGCTAGTATGATAAAGGTGATTTATGAGTGTATCTGTGTAGGTACACACATGTATGTATATCTATCTGCAAATATCTGCATATGTATACACACATATACATATATAAAATCTTCCATAGAGGGGCGCCTGTGTGGCTGTCGTTGGGCGTCTGCCTTGGGCTCAGGTCCTGATCCTGGGATCGGGCCCAGCATCTGGCTCCCTGCTCCGCGGGAGGCCTGCTTCTCCCTCTCCCACTGCCTGTGTTCCCTCTCTCGCTGTGTCTCTCTCTGTCAAATAAATAAATAAAATCTTTAAAAAAAAAATCTTCCATATACATGTGTATCCCATATATATATATATACACACACACACACACACACACACATGTATATCATTATATGAATGTATGTAATATTTTCTATGTGCCTTCATATATATATATGTATACACACACACACACACTATTGTAGTATAAGAAATACATATCTGATGGTTTTTGTCACTGATTCCTGGCATAGAGCTCCTAAAATGCTTAGAATTTCCTGAGTGATGGGGTGACTCTGTTATCGATAAACAAGGTTACACCTGAGATTATGCTAATGAGGTGATTTAGGTTGGGTCCTTAGTAGCCTCTTGATCAAACTGGTCACCAGAAAGACCAAATGATTAGAAGGTTGAAATTTCCAGTCCCTGCTTCTGATCTCCAGGGAAAGGTAATGGAGTTCCAGACTGAGCTTTATAAAACTCTTACACAAGGAGATTTGATGAGATTCTCAACTGGCGCACACATCTATGTGCTGGGAGAGAGGTGCATCCCAGCTCCATAAGAAGAGAAGCCTGTGCACTCTGGACTCTTTCAGACCTCACTCTATGTTCCACTTCACTGGGCTGTTTATTTGTATCCTTTATAATAAAGCAGCAAATGTAAATAAAATGTCTTCCTGTGTTCTCTGAACCGTTCTAGCAAATTATCAAACCTTAGGATGGGGTCATGGGACCCCTCAATTTATAGCCAGCTCAGTAAGAAGTACAGGAGACCCAGAAATTGCTACCAGTATGTGAAGTGAAGAACAATTTTGTGGGGTTAAGCCCTTGAGCTGCGGAGTCTGCACCAATTCCTGGTAGTTAGTGTTAAAACTGGCTTGAATCACTGGACACCAAATAGTAGTCAGAGAATCAGAGAATTAGTTGTTGGTGTCGGAAAACATCTCGATCACATATATATATATATATTTTCCCACATATATTTATATACTTATTGTATTTATTTACTATATTTATTATATAAATATATAGGTATACATCTTCCATACAAATACATATAACCATTTTTACATGTATATTATATATGTATAAAAATTGTCCACATATATTATTCACATATACCTTATATATAGCTATATGTATATTTCTTCCATATGCATTCCATAAATACTAAATACATATATGTATACATAGAATGCTATGGGGGGAAGCCATGTAAGGTACTAAAAGGGTTATATTGAGAAAAGTACATTAATAAAGATGAAGAGTAAATAAAAACTAGTATAAAATAAGCTATATTATAAAAGCATAAAAAAGCAAAGCAAAGCAGTAAAGTTAATGTGAAATATAAGTATTATAAAACTCATATAAAATGATACTAAATGTGTATGGTTAACGTTGTGAGTATTATACAGTGTGGCAGTTTGGTCTGGATAACTTCTACAGTGTTTCCAACTCAGATACATTTACATACCTATATCTTATCAATACCATATCATTTTCACATTTCCTAAGAAGTTGCATTCAGAATTAGTCTATGAATTCCATGTATTACCAATAGCTCTCTCATTGAATATAGCATAAAATATGGATTATTAAGTATTCAAATATATAGTGTTATATCTGACACCTTAGCAATCACTGAACACTTAATACACAAGCAATGGAGTTACTAGAATTATCTTCATTATAGAATAATAAATTGAATTGCTCATTCTGATGGTATCATGTAAAATCATTACTTGCATCATCCGAAATAGTAATATGCATAATTCAAATGGTAAAAATTCAGTTACCTAGAATATAAAATTTATTTTATAAATGCCTTTATTAGAGTATTGGTATAACCTATATTTTGAAAAGAATAATGAAACCATACTCTGAAGATATGTTCCAAAATAAACTGAAAATTTTCCAAATTATCTCTCTTTTGTCCCCTTGCTCAACTCTCCCCTTCCTGCCACTTTATTTCAGAAAGAGGGAGCACTCTCAGCTTCTATGTTTTTTGGTATAGTTTTTTTTTTTTTTACAGCTCTTTCTATAATATAGTATAAGCCATCAGTTAATGGTATTTTTTAAAAATAGGATTATCAATTAGTAATTTTAAGAGAGCAAAAAAAAAAAAAAAGAATGCACAAATAAAGGGAATAAAAGACCCAATTACAGAAAGTGAATACGTAACATCTCAAATAATTACAGCAAAGTGGGAAATTGCCCTATGGCATAGATGAAGTTGTCCTCTAGCAAGTTGATGAAATGGCTGGGGGTGTGAAAAGCAGTCTCTAAGATGACCTCCAACGATCCCACTTTCTGGGATTCAAACCCTTGAGCGGACTGGATTTATTCACTTCTAAAAAATGAAATATGGCAGAATGGGAGGTCACTTGTGGCATGAGGTCATGAAAAGGCTTGTGGCTTCTGCTCTGAGGAGCCTCTCACTCTCTGTCAGATCACTCCCCTGAGGGAAGCCAGCGGCCAGTGAGGCAGCTCTACAGACGGCCAATGTGAGCGACTGAGATATGAAAACAAGCAACCCTATGAGTGACCCTCGAAGAGGGTCTCCTCATCCTCCTGCTCTTTCCTACAACTGAGTGTCCACATGAAATCACAGCACTGTCCGGCACCGTGACTGCAACTTCATGGCAGATCTTGAGTCAGAGGCACTCACCTAAGCTGTACCTACAACACTGACCCACAGAAACTGTGAGAGAAGAAATGTGGGTTGGTTTAAGCCATCAGGTTTTCAAGTTATTCATTACATAGCAAAAGATACACAGAGGAAGACCTGTGTTGGGAACTACTTGGTGGGAGTTCTGGGAATCTGGCCAAGTGAACCCAAATCAACCCAATTCTAGGTTGATGCCCCCTGGTGGCAGTTGTCTACTCCAAATTAAATATCGATGGGGATGATCAATGGGGCCTTTGGGACAGTGATGATCTTCACTCAACACATCCCACTCCACCCTATAGCCTTAGGAAATCATTTGTCCGTCCAGCTCTATAGCAACCCACAGGGAAGACTTTTTTGTCTCTGCCCGAGTCTTGCATTGTTTTGGGTCCTCTATAATTCTCTCAACTTATACTTTTAAATTATGTTTACAACTGTATATAGATATGAATCATCAGAACACATCATATTTTTCTAGCAATATAACAAGTACCGTTATAACAATGTTTTTAAAGAAAAACAACAATGATCCTAGCCCAAAATCTTAAGTGTTAACTTCGTATTTGAAATAATAAAATTCAGTACCATAGAATTATTTGATTACTTCCCTCATACATATTTTAAACATACTTTATGTTTATTATTTAAAATTGGATTCCATAAAAAATAATTTTCCTTTCTTGTCACAAAGACAAAAGAACAGTAACTTTTTAAAAAAAACAGCAAGAATACAATCATTGACAGAATTCTTATACAGAACTAATGAGTACCTGACATTGTTTCCTATCAATGGGTGGCAGAATTTCAGATCGAGGAAAGGAACGGGCACTCGTACAAGCTAGCCAGCTGCTAAGGCTGATGCAGCGCTTCTGCTTAACTTTAGACCTTTGGTATGTTAAAGGCTTTGCCTTTTGTAACCTCAATTCCCAGGGATCAGGATCTTTTCTGAATGGTGAATTGTATATACCTGGAATCTAAAGAAAAAGAACATAATTGTTATTTTTAACTTTAACTTTTTACATGAAGTAAAAGGAAGATGAAGTTGTATCATAAAAATTTTCATATGTTTAAGGACTATTTTTAAGTAGAACTCTAGTTCTTAACTAGAGGCTGGCTTTAAATTCATCTAAGGAGATTACAAAATACTCACTTTGTCTACACTCCAGACCAACAATTTCAGAATCATTCATAGTTAAAGACCAAAAATGTTAAAAATCACTGAGCTATAGCTTCTACCTGGCATATATGGCATATTTTATATAACCGTATTTTAGAAAAAATTACAGAAGGACCTTAAGTCATTCTTTCTGTTAACTATGTATATGTGTATTTAATCACATCCGTAAGTCATACATTCACTCACACAAACTCAAATATGCAATGCTTGAACCAGTTTCAGGCACAAAATATGCACTCAGTAAATACTTGGTTGCTTTAACGATTATGATTAAACCCATATATTTTTCCTAAAATGTGCTCTTCTGTTATGCCACCGTTATATGCAGAAAATTTTCTGGTCACTCTATTTATTGATGGACTCAGCAGTTCTAAAGTATTATGATTACCCAAGATCCTTGTCTTTGGAAAAACTATCTTAGAAATTTTATATTTCCTGGGGCACCTGGGTGGCATGATCTCAGGGTCTTGGGATTGAGTCCCACATCGGGCTCCCTGTGCAGCAGGGAGTCTGATTCTCTCTCTCCCCCTCTCCCCCTCCTCCCTTGCTCATGTTCTCTCTCGCTCTTGCTCGCTCTCAAATAAATAAATAAATAAAATCTTTAAAAAGAAGAGAAAGAAAATTTTATATTTTCAGCCTAATATTTCAGTTAAGTGTTAACCTTTTTCTAATACCAACTGAGACTAGATTCAGTGTCCTGTCCCTAATGCCACATTAAGAGCCTGGGGCCAACTCTGTCAGAGCTCTTACCTACCTACCACATTGTTTCATAATAACCTTTGTGTGTATCAATCTTCCCTAAACAAGCAGCTGGAGCACAGGGCCTCTGTTTTAGGGATTTTTGTAGCCCCATGGCCTCCGGGAGTCCCGGGCACATAGTAGACACTCAAAAACAATGCACTCTGCAGAAGGACCTGTGAAGCCTGTATTTACTCTTGTTTTCCAAAGCCGCATCAAGATCTCAGGAAAATGTTTGAGGCTTATTTCAAAATCTTATCAACTTCTTTCAAAGAATTATAGATTATACCCTTTTTATCTTTCTTAATACATCAGTTTTGCTGTGCTTTCAAACACATTGTGATCTAGAATTAAATTATCAAAGATCCACTTGAGTTACCTCCAACTCAACTGTTCCTGTGTTATAACTGAATTTTATTAGATAAAACAAAGCCAATGAAAATATACTTAAAAATATCTTAAAAAATATTTTTGAACTGGGTTTTCTTTGGGATTTTTTTCCCTATATAACTTATACAAGAAAAAAGTGTTGAAACATTACAGGCAATTGTATAAACCATATTTAATGTCATGCTGACCATTCTCTCACTATAATACTAAATACCAAACAAGGTCGATTCATAAACAGCTTAAATGATGTTAATAAAAAACAGTATGGACACATATTTAAAATAGTTTTTAGTGTAATTTTGAAGGGATGAAAATTTTTAAGATGATTTTTAGGGTGAATTTCTATGATGAGAATCTACCAACTGTAATGAGAAGAAAACCAACAAATACTACATTAAATAGGCTATCCTGACATAAATATAACTAAATCTCCATAGTCTATGAAAAAGATAGGAGTATGCCATTCTATTTAGTGATGATCTAGCTGACTTAAGTCTGTTAATCATTTCCACAACCTTGCAGATAGTAAAATACACACAATTTAACTAGATTATAATTTATCAGTTAAAAATATCTATCTACTTGAATAACTGTTACCAGCCATTAACTTTACCCCATTAGAAATCTTCTTTGGTCTCCGTCCACATTTGCATGCACATGTATACATAGGCTAGATGGGAAATGCAAATAGATCAGTAGACATGATAGCTTTCTTAAATTATATTTTGCAACCTATATGGAGACCTTCTCATGTGTATTCTCTTTGCAATTTAAATCAAATATAGGTAGAAAATATATTTTAATTGAATTTAAAATGTATCATTTAAAATCTTCAAGGTGTCAGTTATTTTAGAAATTAATTTAATACATTTGCTAGCTTACGTCAATGAAAACAGTTCAGCCCTTTCTCAATCCCTACCGCAAGCAAATACCCTGTTTATTTATATTGATACAGTATGCATTTAGCCATTACTTCTTTAATAAAACCTTAACTTACTATTGTCTCAACTGCTGCATTTTATAATTTGTAAGCCACTTGTGAATAATGGTTTGTTGTTGATTTTTAAAAATATTACTATGAGTCACAAAAGACAAAGTTAATCCTAAGGGACCATGACATATTTTTCAGTTTTCACATTTTTCACAACTTAGAAGGGCTACTGCCAAGCTAGCTTTTGGGACTTCATTTTCAGCAATAATTTTCTAGAGTGACCAACACTATGGGGAAATCTGTGCTAACTGTTTAAAAAAAAAAAAAGCCTACAACTGAGTTATTTGCAGTACTGTCATGCTAACATTCAACTCAATAAGACCCAAGAAATCTCGGGAGAGGACTCTGCTAATAGCTTCTTACTGACCTCCTTGCATCAGGCTGGGCTGCTGACTGGTGGCCCAGTGGTGAATACGGCAAATGAGGTGTGAAAGCACTGATTTTTTTTAAAGGCTATGATTCTGACTCGTCAAAAGGAAAAAAAAAAAAAAAAGGCAATGAGTTATATAATAGATATATATTTTTCTTGAATTCCCCCCTTCAGACCCTCCATCATGGGAACTTAAGCATGACCTGGAATATTAATTATGTCAGGTTGAGCAACGAGCAAATGTACCATTTGTTACCCAGTCACCCTTAGCATTACATTAATATTTTGAACCATTCCATATTTCTAACAATCTATCAGTTGCTCTTTTCTTCTCAGTTTTTATTCTTTAGACTTATAAGTATTGTATGGGAAAGTACTTTAAAAGTGCAACTGATTTAAAAACAAATGGATGATGGATTTGAAGCATCTACTATTTTATTTCATGGAGAATGTTTTTACGATCATTTTCCACTCATCCACAGACCTTCATTTTGTAATTGCCTGGGGGAACCTATATTCCAATTCTCCCCTCTTCTCTTTGTTATTGAGGTTTACTTCTAAAACAAGGTGCTGTAAAATAAAAAGAATCTGAAACATGATTTTGTATATCTATAATTCCCAAAGCACAATGATTAGTCTTTCCATTTCTTATTTTACCATATGAGAAATAATAATCTCTCGTAATTTCAAAGTAACTGCTCACTCTGGAATGAGGAACTACTAAGTATACAGGAGAGGTGGGAAAATTCAAGTTTCACTTTTGCAAATGACAATTACACAGCAAATGGGAGTTGACTGCCACATAAAGGAACAAAATCAGAAAGTATTTTCTTGCATCAGGATTCAGAATTTGTGAATACTGGGAGAGATACACAGTTCTAAAAAGGGGGGGATGCTGAGTAAAAGATGTTCAGGATCTAAGCTTTAATCAAAATTATTTTAAAAAAAATTAGACACTAAGCCAGCACAGAAGGGCAGAAGATCTCTACTAACGAGGAAAGTCAAAGTGGGCCGGAGAACTGTGAATGAAGTATTTGTGAGGGTAGGGACTGCTGAATCAACACTGACCAACGCACTTCATCATAATTATCAGGACACACCAGTACCAGGGGATTTATAAAAATCCCACTCAGCAAATAATTGCCCTGCTGTTAGGAGACAGTCAGAGTGTTAACACACTGTCACAGTCCAGTGTTTAGTAAGATATTCTACATTCAATTACTCTTGCTGAGAACTAAAAGGAACCATGGTCATTTCGCACCACCTCAGTTACGCTTCCGCATGCATTTCAGACAACAGCCATGTTAACCCTCACATACGGTACCCCAGAAGGAAGAAGGATTTCATGGAAACATTTGGGATTCACAAGGAACATATCTGGCATAAAACCTATCTCTATATAGCAAGATTTAGAAAGAAAAAACTATTACTAACTATACATGCTTTTCTGTGACTTCAGTGAAGAAGTCGAATTTTTAAATGTTTTGAGTCAAAGTACAGAGTGGGGTCATGTTAAATGGAGAATCCTGAAGTAGCTGGCTTCATTAGTTTAACAAATGATTTTTATGAATCATTTTGATATCCTAAACATTATCATCATATATTAAAATATTTTCATTAAATATTGATTAAAACAATGAAATTTAAATAAAATGCCATCCTCTACATACTAACTCAATTCAATAAATATGTAGCATCTACTAACTTTGAAACACTTTACTGGATCTAAGGTGGGTACAGATGAATGAAAAGTGATCACTCCCACCAAGCCATTCTCAGTGGTGGGAGAGGGGAGGGCTAGGAGAGCAATTTTGTGACTGACAATAACATAGCCAGCCTGTAGTAAGTATCCACTAATTGCTGTTGTAAAAGAGGTTTACATCTTTTAGAACTGTGGGAAAAATATCCGACTTTCTTCTAAAGGTGGGTAGAATTTTGATAATAAAAAGGGAAGAAAGGCATTGCAGGCTAAGGGAAGGGTAAAAATAAAGACAAACATATTTGTGGGAAAACACAGAACAGCTGTTCAGTGACTATCACATTGGCCAGTTTAAGCATGAGGCTATAGTCAGAGATGAGCTTATAAAGATAAATTGGGGCCAAACTCTAAAAGGCTGCAAATTACACTTAATTCTGCATAAAATGGAAATCTGTTGATTTTCACATTCTCTCTTAGAAGGTAAACTCAGGAAGAAGTCTGAAGCAGGCCTACAGAAACGGACTCCATGAAAACACAGGTGAAAACCACAATTTAAGGGACAGAACAAGCATCAGAACCAGACTCAGAGCAGGCATACTGAAATTATCA